TTAACGGCTTTTCTATCCATTTCGAGTACAAGCGAGTACATGTTTTTAACTAAAGCTAAACCGTTTTGGGCATTTTAAAAAGAGGTAAGAGTGTTGTAAATTCCATTGTCAAGAGGAATACTGAAAGAAAGCTTGACATCATTCGCATATAGCCAAACAAGCCAGAAGAGATCATCGCATATAGCCAAAAGAGTTAGGCAAGGAAAGATTTAGGTTAGTGAGATCATTTATGTAGATAGTGAACAATAAAGGGCCCAAAATGCTGCCGCTCTCTTTCACAAAACCCAAATTCTAGTTCATATCCAGATCCGTTTACTCCTAGAAACGAACATTAGAGAGGAAATGGATAATAATAGAAAAAAAATCATTTCAATCATTTCTAATTAAATGATATCTAAAATTGTTAATAAAAAGTATTCAAACTACAAGATTGAATTGGTCTTTCTCTTAATTCCATTTAAAGCTATTCAATCATCTGACGATTTTTGTCTCGGCACTGTAATAAAGAAAAATTTGTAGACTCTACAGTACTTTTAAAATAATTAACTTACTTGTTAGTAATAATAATTTCAGATTGAAAATAAATTTTTCATAAAATGCACCTGCGAAAGTCACACGTTTTCTTAACAAAATAAGCAAATAGGCATTTTTACTGATCAATAATTTCTAGATTCATTTTGTATGTTCGAGAATGTGTACGTGAGGTACGCATATCATTTCTTCTCCTCATTATCATCTTTAATGGCTCTTTTTTGGATGTATGTCATTGTGAAATATTCGCCGATTGAGATGAAAGATTTCAAATGGATTTTGCTGAAGTTGGCGGTCGGTTTTGAGATCTTTTAAACGATGAAATAACTAAAAAACGTAGCAGTAAATTTATGATCTTCTCAATTGTTCGCAAGATGTTTAGGGTATGTAAAAGAGTTGTGGGAGATAAGAATAACTACATATTTGCTTGTATTTTCGTCGCGTCGGTAGTTCAATGGTAGAGCATCGACTCGAAAACGCATTTATCCACACAAAGAGATCTTATAGAGAAAGTTTAGACACATAAAGCACAATATAAGCTAGAGATTATGAATCTAAAGAAATATCAGAAAGCCACTCTATGGATTTTCTGCACACGAGTGCTTATAGAATTTTTTTCTATTTGTTCAAATTTAAACACGACAATCAAACGGCTGTGGGCCTAGAAGGGGAAGGGCCTGCGGTCTATCCCCTCCAACCTGCCAAGTTAAGCAACGTCGGCGCGAGATAGTCGTGGGTTCGACTTTTGTGGGTTCCCCTCCGAGCGCCCCAGCCCGGCCATCGGAGTATCATCAGCTACGATAACTACCCTTCTGCCTCAGTACCCCGCACGGCATCGAGGGACCAAGCAAAGGCCGAGAGGCGATCCAATCTCGGGACATCAGGATGCCATATGGATAACGGACCAAGGAACGGAACTCAACGACAAAGCCCAAGTCTCCGACTCTGCACTTTCAACGCCAGGACAGCCGCCTCGCAAGCTGATAAGACTACACTCCATGAGATGAGCAAGAAGATCAAATTCGACATCATCGCCCTCCAAGAAACAAAGGCCAAAGATGACTCCACGAAGACACAGGCGAACGGCGACCTGCTCATACTCGGCCACAAAGTCACCAACAAGAACATCGGAGGAGTAGGCTTCCTGGTCAACAAGGACATCGTGCCACTCGTCGACAGCCATGAGATCATCTCTCCACGACTCGCAGTCCTCCACCTCAAGCCACTGAGAAACCGCGACATCGCCGTCTACAGCTGCTACGCCCCAACCTCCGAGCGCCCCAGCCCAGCCATCGGAGTATCATCGGCTACGACAACTACATTTCTGCCTCAGTATCACGGCCTGCCTGCTCTCTTCCGGCATCGAGGGATCAAGCAAAGGCCGAGAGGCGATCCAATCTCGGGACTGGATGACAATAGCAAGGGATAGAGAAATGTGGAAGCAGGTTGTGATCTGTGCAAATAGGAACACCTAAGTGCGAAGATAGATAAAAAAAAAATCGTGATACTAATTTGGCTAGAGCTCGTAGATTGCATAGATTGAAACATAAAAATTGAAACCCACCGACCGCGCCAAGTAGAATGAAAACAAGCAATCAAAGAAAGCTGAAAAGCTAAAAAAAACATAAATCGAAATCAAACGACTACAATACTTTCGAATAAGTAGAACTTTTCTAGACAAAACTAACGATCAATTGCCTTTTCTTTTTTTCAGTTTAGAAATGCAGGGTTGTTTTAAAGATTGAGATTCTAAAGTAAAGCGTTAAAGTTCTAGCGTTCTAGCGTTAAAGTTCTAGAGCTTGAGGGTCTTAAAGTTTTTAAGCCCAATCAAAAGCTAGATCCTGCCCCACGAGTACAAATTTTTTACTGAAAATCAAAAATCTCAATCCTAACAATTCTAGTGTGATATCCAGATAGAAGAAAAAAAGTAATTAAAATAAAATGGCTCTTATCAATTCTTCGGAATAATCGCGAACTCTCAGCAGTGCGATGTAAAACTAATTTGTATGGTTTCTTTGCCTCAAATTAAGTCTAAATAACAAAATAAAATTCTATAAGAAACAAAAAATGAAATTGAAATGAAAGCAAAAGCAATATAACAACAAAATCAACTCGACAACTTTCAAGAAAGCAGTAAAAAGATTTTGTCAGTCAATTTTGTCGAAATTTGTTCTCTTTCAGCTTGTCAAAAAGTAAAATTTCTTGCTTCTTATAGAATTTTATTAGGGTGGTGCAAAAGAAACTGCCGTTTTGACGGTAAATTCAAAAAAAAAGATGGCATTCGATGGTGGCATGATCACAATGGAATATTTTCGCAAGATTTGGATCGGCTGGATCGGATGATTTGATTTGGATCGGCTCGATCGGATGGATCGGCCTGTATAACGTCCCTCAGCTTGGCTTCGTTCACGACTTCTGGCCTCGAACCGTGCTCGTAATCTTCCAAAGTCTCGTCTCCCTCTCGGAATCGTTGAAACCAAGTCTGACACTGCCTGAGAGACAAACTGCCATCTCCGAAAGCAGCACAGAGAGAACGATGCGATTCGGCAGCAGACTTTCCAATTTCGAAATTAAACAGTAATGCTGCTCGTAGCACAAACTTTTGCTCGACCATGATCTAAAAATATAAGCATTTTAAAATAAAATAAAAAACAACCAAAAAATTCAAATGTCAAAATAAATAGCAAACAAATATGCGAAAAAAAAACATAAAAAAATAATTCCATTAGCATCGCTCGTTTCTGATAAATGAGAGCTGATACCCATCGGCAGTTTCTTTTGCATCACCCTAATATTTTGATTATTCAAAGAAAAATGATGTTATTTCGACTTAATTTGAGGCAAAAAAGCCTATAAATTAGTTCTGCATCGCCCAGACGAGAGTTCTCGATTATTTCGTAAAGTTGACAAGAGCAATTTTATTGCAATTGCGCTTTTTCTTCTATCTGGATATCACACTAGAATTGTGAGAATTCGGATTTTGAGACAAAACCTTTTTTTGCCTTATCGTTTACCCGACTTCTGGGCAGGCTTTAGCTTTGTTTGTCTTGTCTCAGATTTGCAAATTGCAAGAATAATTGAAAAAAACCTAACAATCTAAAACAACTTTTAGCTAATGGAAGAGCTCTTTTCAACATTTATGGGCGGTATTCTGTTTCCCGATTGTCTTTTCCCGGCTCAAGGGGCGGTTGTTCTTGGATTGGCCTCTTACTTTGGTCCAATTGGTGGCCAGTTTGCGGTGAGTTAACAAGACAAACCTTTACATCTTATAGTTAGTGGAATTAAGCCTAGATTGGGCTCTATTTTAACATTCTATCAAATACTTTAAAATAAGGCATAAAGCTCTACCCTGTCGGCAATGGGATACGTGTCGGTGTAGCTCTTTTAGTAAAGTCTTTGTCCAATAAGTTTGCATCCAATGAGCTTTATTATCCAACAAAAGGCAAGCTAGTTTTTTGTTTTCAAACTTCTGAAATTTTCTGAATAAAATCTTAGCAAACTATTGGGTTGTTCGGATATAAACGAGCGTTTGCACTGCTTAACTCGTGAGGAAGCCATTTCCCGCATCTGATCGCCTTTCCAATGGCGTGCAGGTGCTCATCAATGATAGAATTTGAACATAGAAACTGTTGAGCAAGGTCACGCGTCGTTTGACATGGATCCGATTCGATTGCAGTCCTCAAAATATCGTTGTCTACCGCTTGAGGTCGGCGAGAGTGTTCATCATTTTATCTTTTATCACCGTTCCGAAAGCGTTGGAATCAGGCTCGGCATCGGCTTTCGAACAATGCATCATTTCCAAATGCTTTGACCAAATCTCGATGGGATCCGACTGTTTCGCCCAATTCGAAGTCGTAAAGTAGGCAGACGCGAACTTGATTTTTGGAGCGAATACCGGGATAGTCAGCTTCCCTTTCGAACATCATCACTCACGATTAAACGTGGGTTTTCTACGATGGTCGAGTGTTACAACGGCAGTGGTTGAAGAAAGGACAAGCATGTAAAATGGTGCCAAAACGGAATATCGACGAAAAGAAGCGAATGTTGTGTGTCGGTCATCTAAAGCAAGAAAAAAATCTTAAGATCTTAAAGATCTTAAAAATAAGAAATTATCCGTTTAAAGAGATTCCAAATATACACAAGATAACGTAGTTTTAAATAGAGAAAGACATGTTTTAAAAGCTTCCCTTAAAAGCTTCCCTCACAACAATAAGTTTAGTAACGCTTGTAACCAATCCGAACAACCTAATAGATTCTATCCAATAGAATCCAGGTAGCCGGCACATTCTTCTTCGGAATGTCAATTTTCGTCTCGATCAACGACTGTGTCCACGTGAGATCACTCGTTTTTCATGGAAAGCATCAATTGGTTGAAGCTCTTGTGAAGCCACAGATTGGTAACTATAAAGACATTTTCAAATTTCATCGATTTCCAGGAATTCCCCTCACATTAGCGATTAAGGGCATCATCGCGGCTCCAATGTTTTTCACAATGTGGATGGGCTTTGAAAACTCTGAGGTGCCTAAAATTTCTTTCAAAACAAAAGCAAGTCTAGAATTTTGTCTCTCGAATGAAAGCTTTGGCAAAATGGGAATATATTGAGTATTATGCAATGGACAATGGAACGGTTTGGGTGAGCATGGATGTGGCACAGACATGGACAATTGTATTTTTGATGGTACGGGTAGTTTTCAAGAGGATACCTGCAAGAAAAATTGAAGAATTAAGTGCACCAGAAAGCTTGTGTTTTGGACAAAGCATGCGAAAGCTATTGTGATTCTGGGAAAACGTTTTCTAAAGTTCTAAAGTGTGCGCCAAGGAAAAGCCATCGTACTCCGCAAAATTTCATCAATGAGCAAGCCTGGATTGTAGTGGCTTTATGCTTAGCCAGATAACGAAAACCCAGATCAAAGAGATTTAGAGATTTCACCAACGAAGGCAGTATTAGGTTATCCAATAAAAATCCAGAGATTTTGAATTTCATTAATTTTCATAGAGGTTAATGTTGCCCTTTACAAAATCGATCGGTCTTTCTGATTTGGGGGAACTTGTGCCATCCTGAAGAACGAAGACGATGTCAGAAGATGTCAGAAGGTATACCCTATTAATGGCAGAAGATACACCCTATTAATGTCAACATCCGGAGAATACGATGCATGAGGAAGGATATTCCAGTGTAGGTTGTTCTTCACAAAATCGATCTTTCTGATTTGTGGGAACTTGTGCCATCTTGAAGAACGAAGACGAGACCGTTTCATTTGTTTCTATAGAGCAACCTCTCGACTTTTTATTCCACTTTTTGCATATGACAAACATCTGTGTTGAAATTTTCCCTTCTTTTAAGAAGTTCCCAGAAAAGGACGCCTGTCGAACACTAAGCGACACACAACATTCGCTTCTTTTCGTCGATATTCCGTTTTGGCACCATTTTACATGCTTGTCCTTTCTTCAACCACTGCCGTTGTAACACTCGACCATCGTAGAAAACCCACGTTTAATCGTGAGTGATGATGTTCGAATGGGAAGCTGACCATGCCGGTATTCGCTCCACAAGTGGTGGCATGTCCGCTTTCTTTTTGCTTGTACTATTTCCGACATTTCGTATGGGATTTGGCGTTGTTTTCTTCAATTTCTTTCCACTTTTCGCAACTATCGCCACACAGTCATTCGTCCAAAGTCACGTCCAGTCAATTACTGGGTTGATTCATCGGGGTTTCGCAGGAGTCGATCGTCGACTCAGAATCGATCGTCGACTCAGAATCGATCGTCGACTCAGAATCGATCGATCCATTTTCCGGGGTCGGCTGCTTCCCCTCTTCCGTTTGATCCTCGTGTTGCCCGTCTTGAATTTGTGAAACCATTCCTGTACGGTACTAGTTCCAACAATTATGTTACCATAAAATTTATTGATTTCTCGTGTTACTTTGGCCGCTGAAATCCCTCTTGAAAATCGTCGGAGCAGTAGGGCGTGGATTTCTTCTCGAGTTGGCTTCATTCGATCGATTGCAACTGCAACTTATCTCGTTAAGTCTCGATAAGGTTTTTGGCCGACTTTTTCAAAAGAAAAATCTAAAATGATGAGTATCATTAGATAGCTTAAAATCTTGCTTTTAAATGAAAACAAAAGTTCATTGAAATCCGATACTCTAGAGGGTAGTGCTCTAGAAGTGCCTGGAGTTGCTTTGTCTCGTTAATTCTCGTGAAGCAAGTCTAGAGCTTATCAGGAAATTCACTAATGTGAGCAAATCCACCAGGAAGTCATTATTAATTTCGTAGAAAATTGTCTTTTGACTGTACTTTCTTTATCAGTAACATATTTGCCTTAAAAATGAAATTCAAAAATGCATCAGTATCAAATGAACTACGAATTCTAGAATTACAATAGTCAGAGGTCATTGAAGCAATCACTCTAAGCAATTACTCTAAGCAATCACTTTAAGTAATCACTCTAAGCAATCACTCCAAGCAATCACTTTAAGCAATTACTCTAAGCAATCACTTTAAGTAATCACTCTAAGCAATCACTCCAAGCAATCACTTTAAGCAATTACTCTAAGCAATCACTTTAAGTAATCACTCTAAGCAATCACTCTAAGCAATCACTCCAAGCAGTCACTCTAAGCAATCACTCTAAGCAATCACTCTAACAAGACGGTCATTGAAAAATTTCAATTTGAGAGAAATTCTGGTGGAGATTAATTCGAAAGGGAAAAGAGAGGGGAGGCTGATGAAAAACGAGGATTACTATTGCATAAGCAAGAAGAATGTGGGCATTCTTCCAATGAGTTCCTTGTATCTCGAAAATACCAATGAGTTCCTTGTATCTTGGATTCCCTTTCCTCACTTGATCTCTATGGTAAACAGTGCAAAACATCTCATTGAAACAATTCCGTCTCACGAAAAACTCTATACAACCCATGAAATCATTCCAACTCTCGAGGCAAGCTTTGAACCTAACATTTTCTTTCATCAATGAAAGACTTTCCTTGATAAGTTGAGTTGGAAAAAAGGACAAGTTGAGATCTTCACATAGCGTCCAGCGATTCTCCATGAAAGCTGTGATTTCACAACCATCCTCACTAGAAAGGAACCGGCTCCAGTGGATCGTTAAGCACTTGGTGACTCGAATCAAACTATCTATTGAGAGAAGTGATCGATTCCCACTCGAATCTCTATCGAAAGCAATTGATAAGCCTTGTAAAGCCTTCCTTAGTGTTAGAGGGAACATTTATCAGCATGAAATGTTGTTGGATTTATTTTGTTTCCTGAAATGACACCTCCACGAACAGAAAGTATTTCTAAATCAGCGAAATGTGTCAGCTTTTGAAAGAGTCTCTTGTGAAGAGGTTTCACTTGCACGGGCACACCTAAACGCTCATCACGCTCAACGTCACGCTCAACGTTTTTCTCATTGCCCAAAAAAAGATTAGGTTAAGTGATAAGATATACGAATGCTTATATCGTTAACCACAATCCAACCGTTATTCTTCTCGATTTTCGTGTCGTACGTCTAGTACAATATCACGCGGACATATTCAAGATTTGATGGGAACGGTCCGTTGTCCGGGAAAGTCAAACAGGACGTATGAACGCAAATCATGAGTCACTTTCAGCACTTGAAATGCCTTAAACACCTTCAATTTCTGCAGAATTTCCATTTTGAGAAGAGAAGGGAAAGAAGGAGAACTTTTGAAAGACATTCTGTCGTCTTTGGAAACGATAACACAACAGATACTACAGGGTGATCAAGGATCAAACACACAAAAGGCCTGGCTTTTAACCAAATATGCAACCCATCCCAAAGTTAACTTAAATATCTTTATTCAATATATAACAGTAACAAATTAACAATTAAATTAAAATTTGCCCCCATCGGCATTCAAATAGGCCCGCAAACGTTTGGGGAAACGCGTTGACCGTGGCGAGCAAACAGGCATCATCGAGGGTATCCCATGCTTTGATCAGCGCCTTCTTCAAACTTTCGATATTTTTATGTGGTTTTTGCACATACCCTGGCTTCAAGAACACTCCAGACTGAGTAATTCAATGGGTTAAAGTTGGGTGAGCTGGGTGGCCAATCAGAAAACGAGATGAAGTCCGGGAAGGTCTTTGAACAAAACTCTTGCACTTTCTTTGCCGTTATTCTTCTCGATTTTTGTGTCGTACAATATCACGCGGACATATTCAAGATTTGATGGGAACGGTCCGTTCTCCGGGAAAGTCAAACAGGACGTATGAACGCAAATCATGATTCACTTTCAGCACTTGAAATGCCTCAACACCTTCAATTTCTGCAGAATTTCCGTTTTGAGAAGAGAAGGGAAAGAAGGAAAACTTTTGAAAGTCATTCTGTCCTCTTTGGACACTCCGGATTGGCTGATTAAGAAATAAAGTCAAAGCTAAAAGTAGAAAAAGCAAAAGGGTGAACAAAGTTGAAAAGAGATTTGTGAGTGATGTCAATGACAATTTGGATCTCTATTTCTAGTGGATGCCCATAGAAAATCAATTTTTAAAGTCTAGAAGTCCAGTCTAGAAGTCCGAATTATAGCTTTTTCAATTTACCCATTGTTGAACAGATTTGTTTGACTTTCTAGATATGGTAAGATGATTGGTCAAAATCAAAATGAAGCTAGATAAGGGACAATTCAGTGGATCTGGAAGCCGCTGGCAAAGAGAGAAATGGAGAGAGAGCTTTAGGTACTGCAGTATCGATTAATATTGGAACTTGATTCCTTTAGCCTACTCTTTTACTCCTTTAGCCTACTCTTTTACCCCTTTAGCCTACTCTTTTACCCCTTTAGCCTATTCTTTTACCCCTTTAACCTACTCTTTTACCCCTTTAGCCTATTCTTTTACCCCTTTAACCTACTCTTTTACCCCTTTAGCCTACTCTTTTACCCCTTTAGCCTACCGTACCGTAGGAGTAGGGTAGAGAAGAGTATAGCAGTGGGGACAACGCTTAGAATCTAGCTACTACAGTACTCTGTTTCCCCCCAATATTTCAGGTTGTCGTCTTTGGTCTAATCGCTATTTACATGGCAAATCTACTGTCTGCTCTCATTCTCTATCGTCAACTGAGATCTCTTCAAAGCCACATGTCAGCCGTTTCATTCAAGACGCATATTTCAGTCTTGTACATGTTAATCACACAAGTTACTTGAATAACACAATTTCATTGAATAAAAAGGAAAAACTTTTAGAACATTTACCCATTGATAATCATGGTTTTGCCTGTAATTTACACTGGAATCGGTTTCGTCACGAATAACTCGGCAATGTTGGCGTCGAATTTGTACAAGAATGTGGCCGTCTTGGGACTGATTCTTTATCCGGTTTGATTAATCAATAAATCTAAAAACAGATCTTTTATCAGCAAAATAGAAACGGAATTTAAACAGATCTTTTATTTAAATAAAACTTGATTCTTTAGAGTAGAAAAATTCCGAAAAAAAGAAAAATGAGAAAATTTTAGACAATCAGCTGCCTCATTTCGATTGTCATGATGAAACCCTATCGAGAATTTGTGAAGACAAAGATTTTCAAGAAAATCCATCGACAGAGAATCGTCGCAGCAACGACAAGCAATTTGAATTCGAACTTGAGGTAATTGATTGAATTGATTGAATTGATTGAATTGATTGGTTTAATAGTGCACCTTTGGCTACCCTAAACAGTAGCTATTGGGTTGGTGAATTGAAAGCTGCGGGACTTTGAGCTAAAATTTATTGAACATAAAACCATGAATTCATTCCAAATAATTTCCATTATTATTGACGACTTCTGCCCATTTTACAGGCAATTTGCGGATTCGTCTTTCGTGGTAGGATTTTGGTTTGTGTGTGAGACAAGTGTGAGACTCAAAAATCGAGGACCGGAGATGTCCCAGTTTGAGCACTTTCTTCAAAAGAAACCCATTTTGGTGTCAATAGAAAAGTTGTAGAGAATCAAAAATTAGGCTTATAGTCAAATTTCCAAAAAGATACACTTAGTAGTTTCGCTTAAAATGCAAGTTTTGTGAAAATTCGTAAATTTGGCATTTCTTGAAAATCAGTTTTTGAATCGTTCTGAAAATTTGGATATAAGCTTGATTTTCGATTCTCTCCAACTTTTCCATTGACACCAAAATGGGTTTCTTTTGAAGAAAGTGCTCAAACTGTCACATATGACAATAGCCCGCAGTTTTCAATTCACCAACCCAATAGTTAGTAGTTAGTTTCTATCGTTTCTAAGATTACTTTACCATAAATGAAAGCAAATTTCTATAAAGTTTAAATCTCTAAGGTTACAGTAGCTTGGGCATGCTTTAAAAGCGATTATCCAAGTCGCCATTCGAGAATCGTTCGGGAAAAGTTTCAAGTTTAGGAGAACGAACGCATTCTCACAAACTCAACTCACTACTCGGACTCTTTCTACTTCAAACCACCCAACTTCACGAAATGATTAATAAGATAAAGTGTGCTTTAGAATAAATATATTATTAAAAGAAATTTTGCTTGAAATTAAGCCAGTTTGGTCAGTAAATTAAAGCCAAAAAAAAAACTTTGATATTGTGTTTCAAAATTTCAAATTTCTATCGCTTTTTGACTTAAGTTGAATAAAAAAAAATCGGCTGAATCAATAGCAGTGTGTGTGACAAAATTTTTGCATTTCATTTTTAGCTGAAACATTTATGCAAACAAAATAGATATCATTCAATTCCAAGCATTTGCATAAAATTGGAAATACTTTTCACTCTCGCCGACAACATCGATCGGAGCGACAAGGGTGGAACGTTTCCCCAGATGCGATAAGGCTTTCACGCGCGAGAAATTGCTGAGAATCTCGACGAAATCGAATCTCCACGGTTCCACGGAAAAGAAAACGATTACGAAATAGGCGAGAGTGGTGCTGAACTTTCATCATCTTTTCTCAGCGGTGATGTACTTTGGGGGAGCCCATAATCGCTCGCTTTCTGGCACACGGAGCAGATAGATACCCAGAAAGCTAGCTCCAAGGACGTATATCTTTCTGGCTATCTATCTGCTCCGTGTGCCAGAAGGCGAGCGATTATGACCTCCCCCAAAGTAATTACTCAAGCTTGAGTTTAGCATTAACCTAGAGATCTCAAATAGAATGCCAGAAGAATTGTCAAATGTCAATGGTTTGGAGAAATTTACGCGAATTTCCTTTTTGGCAAATTCAAAAGTCGCAGTCTTTCAAGAACTTTCTTTTTATTCTTTTTATCTTTTTAAATTGGTTGAAAAAAGTCCGAATTTGATAAAACTCACACGGCAATCGATAGATCAAAGAGAATAAGCAATATTTGTGCCGAATCAGTGTTCAGATCCATGTAATAAAAAGGGATTGCTAAGAATAGAGCGCAGAAGGGCGCACAAAACGCGTGAAAGAGGGTGATTGCACGGATGAGCTAAAGTTCGGGGGTTTTGGAAACGATAACACAACAGATACTATAGTATTTTTTGGGCAAATAAGTTTTCGCTTTATCAGGTGTAATTTGGTAAAAGCAGGGTGGGCAAAAAATAAGCACAGCATTGGATTCGTCCTTTGCATCTCATCGCCCATGCATGCATTGGGCAAAAGCTATAATTCGGATTTATATACGCGGGACTTATATAGCTTTAAAAATTGCTTTTCTATGAACACTGTTTTCAGGTATTAAGCACAAAATACAACTTGAGACTCATTTAAATGGCCATTCTTTGAGTAGGTAGGTTTAGAATGACAGAAACTGCAAATTATCAACTGTGTACTGTGCAAATACTGTAGTATCTGTTGTGTTTTTTTGTTTCAAACTCTTCACTCCTTCTTTTCTATTCAGTCTACTTTAGAATAAAAAGCTCAAAAACTATCGAAACTTTCCCCAAACTCACCGTCAACGCATTGACATTCTCTTCCAATTGAAATCTCGTCGATAAATATCTTTCTGTTGCTTCTTTTTGAATTCCAAAAGCTTTCATTTTGTTTAATTGACGAACATTCCACACAAAAAGGGCATGATAGAGCTGAGAGTTTTTCGAGAATAAAAATCGATCAAGATCTCAAGATCTACTCACCATAAACGATAGAATGACGATAAGTAAAACGACGGGCATCAATGTGAAGAGCATCAAGAAATACCACTCATACATCACTAGAACTCATCGCTATAACAATTTTCTCTGAACTTTGATCGTTAAATCTGAACTCTGATCATTGTCTGCCATTCGAAAACCCAATCTAAACCTTCAACATCCCTTACGTTGAGTGATAAGAGTGATGGTGATGAGCGAGATGGCCATTTTGAGAACAATGAGAAGGGTGGAGAGCTCTGTGAACTGCATACTTTCATAAAAATCAATCCACAAAGTGGCTGCCGCTCTCTCAATGACAACAGCCGACACAAAGAGAACCTCCCAAACAATCATGATGATTCGACCATAAGTCGCGAAGAGGCAAAGGAGACGAAGTGGGATTGGACCTGAACTGTTCAGGAAATGGATTTGAGTACTCTTACGAGGGAATCTTTCGAAGAGGGTGTGTGACTTTTAAACGGTGATCAGATGCAAAGGACCAATCCAATACTGTGTTTATTTTGGCTGGATTTCAAGAAAAGCGCATGCAAAGTTTCGGCTATTTTTGGCAAACTCTCAGCAAGTTTTATAAAAAGAAGTAAAAAGTAGGGGGTTAGAGGAAAAGTCGAACTAGTTTGATAGCCTTGATTTGATAGTCACTATCCACTAGACCGCCGCTGCTTTTTTTTTTTCCTTCGGCGTGGCACTGGTGTACTCTTGAGATCTTTCGGCTTAATGATTTTGTAATTTTCCTAACTCTAAGGTTCTGAGAGTTGAGTTGAATCTGACTTCCGTTTGCCTACAATAGCCTGAAATAAGGGACTTGTCGTAGGTTACTGATACAAATGACAAGTGAGTGAATGATCTAAGATCTTTTGAAAGATTCTTTCTTGGCTTTTCTTGCTTTTTCTCAATGACTTTTGGGGGTGGGACAAATGCGACCTTTTTTTTGCGCACCTGGACATTTGCGCACCTTTTTTTGCTGGAAAAGGCCTTAGGAAAGGTCGTAGAGCTTCAAAAATGTTTCATATAAGGGAATTGTATGCGTAGATTCCGAATTTCGACAAATCACACCTCGCTGGCACGTCAAATTTGGACTAAAAGGCAAAAACTGCGGAAAAGCGTTAAGTCGCGTAGTTTTTGCCTTTTAGTCCAAATTTAGATCTTTTGAAAGATTCTTTCTTGGCTTTTCTTGCTTTTTCTCAATGACTTTTTTAATTGGCAATCCCTTCACCTCAAAACCAGCTTTTCCCGAGACTGCGAAGCCATAAGCAAAATTTTAGCCAATCCTCTTACGGCTAGTTGGTCTAGTGGTATGATTCTCGCTTAGGGTGCGAGAGGTCCCGGGTTCAATCCCCGGACTAGCCCAGAATTTTGTTTTTTTTGGAAAAACTTTGAGTGCTTTAGGATTAAGACACACCTGGAAACGGTAAACAATTGAATTGCACCAAAATGATGTACGCTCTTCCGAGCAATGATGGGTAGATTGTTAAAGTGAAAGCGAGATAAAGACGACGAAGATTGAGATGAAAATGGGATGATTGAAGGAAAACATGGGTATAGATTGAGGCAAAGATCAAGATCAACGACATGAACAAACATTCCAAGAAGACAATCGTTTTGTAGAATGGTTGGAAATCGCTTTGCTAAAGGTTCATAGTGGGTTTTTCTAAAGCAACAGTAATCTTGGCTTTGTTTTGCAAACTATCAATACTTTTGTATTGCTTAGTCCTTCAAGAGTCCGTTTTGCAGAAGTAGATCAAAAGCAGATAGACAAACAATAGAAAAGAGTAGGGTATTTTTAAAAATTGACAAGTTAAGCATTACTTTAGAAGTTTTCTAAGCTTTTCTAAATCATTTAAAAGCTTTATCTTGCTTTTGATATTGTCTGGCTGAAGAAAGTCTTTAAACATCAATCAGAATCAAAAAAAGCCTTTATCTAAGTTGATCAAATTATAAAAAAGGTTCTATTCAATTATAGAATTTAAATGAAAAGAAGTTTTTAAAATTAGTTTTATCAAAATCCTTCAGAAGTCCGTTTTAAAGAAGTAGATCAAAAGCAGATAGACAAACAATAGAAAAGAGTAGGGTATTTTTAAAAATTGACAAGTTTTAGAAAACGCATTACTTTAGAAGTTTTCTAAGCTTTTCTAACTTTCTTTCTAAGCTTTTAAAATCTTTATCTTGCTTTTGATATTGTCTGATTGAAGAAAGCCTTTAAACATCAATCAGAATCAAAAAAAGCCTTTATCTAAGTTAATCAAATTATAAAAAGTCTTTAAAAATCAATAAAATTATAAAAAAGATTCTATTCAATTATAGAATTTAAATGAAAAGAAGTTTTTAAAATTTATTTTATCAAATCCACTCACTGAAATAAAGGTGACATTGACGAAAAGTGACACGAAAATCTTTCGATTCCCGATTTCCACATAGTTCATTGATATCTTTAGAAATATAATATTTAAAGAAATCAATAAAATTAACAAAATGAATACTGCAAGTTGAACGTTTCAAAACATCTGTTCTTGAAAAGTACTCTTTTTCAGATCGTCACTTTCCTTTTTGCACCTGTTTTGTAAATTTACGATGAGGCAATCAAATTTCTAATGGATACTGGCTAATTTAGAAATTCGGATTTCAAATTTTTATTGATTTATAACTGAGGATCACTTGCTCATAATTTGCTTGATATATTTAGCGTTTGTCATGCCACATTCAGGAGATCTATTCAATTCAGAAGATCAAGATTCAGGAGAAAATCCAGGAGATTTATTCAATTCAGAAGATCAAGATTCAGAAGAAAATTCAGGAGATCTATTCAATTGAGAAGATCAAGATTCGGGAGAAAATTCAGGAGATCTATTCAATCATACACTTTGTTGATTTGTGTAAAAATTGATTCTAAATAGTCTAGATCGTTTGTCAAAAAATGGAAAAAGGTAACGATAATTGAAAGATGACTGACATAGTCAAAGGGGAGATCTCTTTCACCAGCGGAGACGCTAACAACTGTGTGAACCATTAGACAAAAAGACAAAACTCTTAGCCACTCCGGGGATTGAAGCCAGGAGCTCTTGGACTGTGAGCGAGAACTCAGGCCAACTAGCCATCAGGCCAACTAGCCGTGAGATCCCTTGACTGAAATTTGAGTTATCCTTTGGGAAAAGCTGCTTTTTGGGTGAAGGGACAATTAGAGATTAGAGATTTCAATTAGAGAAAAAAAAGAAATATCAAAAAAGTGATCGATTTCAATTGTAATGTCGACACCAGCAATCTAAAATTGCTGGTGTCTACATTACAATTGGTATATGAAGAATTGCTTACTGAATTGAAAGTTTCTTGAAATGAGTTTGTGTAAACATTGCCTTGTCTGACGTAGACACCAGCAATCTAAAAGGGTTTCACTTTTTTTCTAAACCACCATAATCCGGGCTTCAGTTTTTCCGGGTGGTAGTCAAAACAGCGCCATAATAGAAAACGTTCAAAACAGCGCCGTCAAATTTCTCAAAATCCAAAAAACCAAGCCGGTTCAAGTTTTATATCAAAAAATTCCTTGCCTTCTTGGCTACATGATGGGTGAAACAGTTTTTAAAAAAAAGTTAGTATTTCATGGATAAAAAGAGCGCTCAAAATGTGTGTCGAGTGATACTCAGTTGGTTAACTGAATATCTTTAGGGCCCCATTTTGAGCGCTCTTTTTATCTATGAAATATTAACTTTTTTTAAAAACTGTTTCACCCATCATGTAGCCAAGAACGCAAGGAATTTTTTGATATAAAACTTGAAGCGGCTTGGTTTTTTGGATTGTGAGAAATTTGACGGCGCTGTTTTGAACGTTTTCTATTATGGCGCTGTTTTGGCTACCCTCCGTTTTTCCTGAGAATTGGATCAATAGGCAAGCTTACGGTAGCTTTTGACACCTTTTTAGAAAAGCCGACTTACTGTAAAGTCTATGCATTGCAAAATATAGCTATTGGTAGAAGTTTTAGAACTTCTACCAATAGCTATATTTTAGTTAGTTTAGCTATAGTTTTAGTTAGCTATATTTTAGTTAGCCAATAGTTTTT